AAGTCGTAACGGCAACGCTCCTCGGGAGACGGTACTGCTCGCGAGAATGCCCCCGCAAAAGCCGAGGACGATTTCCTCGGGCGAGCCTTTTCTTAATCGCGCGACCACTCCGCGGACGAGACACGATACATTACTAGTCGATACGCGACACAAATAAATTTTGGAGCAGATGGTCAATCTTACAATATTCGGCGACGGCCCTTGCGTCGGCGGCGACGTCGGCGACGACGGCGGCGGTGACGGCAGCGGCGGCGATCCTCTCTCTCTCCCTGCTCTCTCGTCCTCTCTCGCCCTTCGCTCTCTCTCTCTTCGCTCTCCTGTCGCCTCGCTCTCCCGTCGCCTCGCTCTCTCGCTCTCGTCCTCACTTCACTCTCCTCCTCTCTCTCTCTCTTCTCTCTCGTCACACTCTCGCTCCCCTCACGCACTATCGGCACGGTAATCTCAAAATCGTTTCGTCTGTGCGCGGCAACGGTCGCGGTAAGGCTGTCAGCTGATCGGCTCTGGGAGGATCACGTATCCTCGTGGATCCTCCCTCGTCGCTGCCCCTCTCGTCCTGGGGTGGTCGGTAGTCGGGAATCGGCAGATTTCGGTATTCTGGTCTCGAGACACTTTTCGTCTCGAGACACTGTTGTCATCGGGAGTTCGCCTGTTGTCTTTCACGGCTCTCCCGTTTTTTTCTGCCGGGTTTCTCACGACGGCTGCTTCGCTAAAAGTAAACACAGCTGATCCGTCTAAGCGCGATACTGTGTTATAACTACGATAATTTCTCAGCGATAGAATATTCGCTATTGCTGAGCGCGCGATAATCTGCGATAATATATTTTTAATCACAAAAGTACGAAAGTGCGATTCACCTGATGTAGGATTTCGCTGGTTGTCGTCCGTTGCGTCCTCGCTCCTCGATGTCGTCCGATCCTCGTTGTCCTCTGCTCCTCGTCCGGGTGGCCGGCAAGGGACGCCGAGGGGCACAAAATTCGGGACGCGCTGACCTTCGCATCTGCTCCGCTCGCAAAATCGCTTCTTCGCTTT